TTAGAAGGGTAAGACATACAACAGAAAGGGTAGAGCCAAATGTTAGCATATGTGCTAAGAGAAGGGGAAATACAGCAAGGGAGGAGGATGAGGGGTGTTGAAGGGTTTTGTATTGAAATTTTAAATTGAGTGGTGTAAAGTGGTCTTAACAAGAAAGTGATATTCGAATGAAAATCCAATAGAGGTAAACAACTAGCCATTGACATAGGAGAAGGAAGAATTTCCAGGTGCAAGAGACATGTTCACATACTGGATAGAGGAAGCATCTTTAAATCTGTGAAATCAGGGGTGGGGAGGCACTATTATCCAATAGACTTGTTTGAAACAAGAGAAAGTTCCTAAGTTGTAATCATTATATCCATAAGCTAGAAATTTTTTATTATTGTGACTAATATTATGACTAGAAGATAAAACTAAATTGTGAACATTTCTTAGTAAGGAGGTGTGAGGAACAGGGATGATTTAGGTTTGTGGCACTTTGCCCTTAACTGATAGCTTCATCTTCTCTTTAGAGAATCTGATTCATTCCGTGTAAGAGATTTGCAGTGCAAAGTTCACAGATTAAATAGCAGCTAATTAAGAGACGAGATAAGACCACAGATCTACCTTCTTATTATAGTCACAGATGACTAGTTGCTTTGACTTATAAAATATTTTGAAGCTGATTTAGTGATTTCCTCATTCTCCTTTAACACCCTGAAATAATTATAAGCACTTCAAATGAAAAAATAAAAACCTTAAACTGCACTTCTCACTTTGCAAATATATTCATAGCTTCATTTTCACTTGACTTTCCATTAGCATATATCTGGCAAAGCACTTTGCAAAGTGTTTTGTTTTTAAATATTCTTTTGATTTCTCCACCTAATCACCATAGAAAAGAAAAAAAGGTCAACTGGACCTGAACAGAAATTGCTTTAGTTTGCTTGTTCTCAAAGAATCATCCCAAATCGCCAGCATCAGAGACACTTACTGACACAGCACAACCATAGTACCTCTGTGAGCTCTGAACAAAGTAAGAGGAAGGGATGGCATTCCTTTGGCTTCAGAAAAAAACTGAAATGGGAGCTTTGTCTGTTTTCTATAATAAATAGTAGTGACATAGTTAAATGTTATTACTGCTTTAGTCAGTCATCTTTTGTGTCCGTGTGGTATGGGATCAAACTGTCCGGCTTAAGGTAAGGCAATTTCTTCAAATTATGAGCACCCTCACTATCTTTTTTTATATATCTTGTTCCTTCTCCTTAATGTTTTCTACAAAATCCATAGATTTACTGTTGAACTCAAGTTGCATCCCAACTCAACCTGTTACCAAATGTAAACTTGGAGTAGGCATTAATCCTCTAGAAGCTCCAAATCCGCCCCTCTCAGAAGAGGCAGAAAAATATCCTTTGGCAGGTTCAACCCTTATCTTTTATTTGTTTTTAGATGGGTTCCTAAGGGACTAAAAGAGTCCTTCTGGGTACAAGTCTGTTACCCTCTTTTTAGCCTGTGTGTAGCTTTACTTCTCCATTACTTAATAGCAAAGGGAAATGCAAAGGAAATTGAGGGAAAGGAAAAATTCTCCAGTGTGTGATGCATAACTACATATGTATTTTCAAAACTCATCAAATTATATAYTTAAAAGAAAAAAACACTATTAAGGTTTACTTTCATACAGGAAAATTCATTTTAATAGGCAAGATACTTAAGTTTTAAAAGGAGGAATTTTTCCCTGTACATTAGTAGTATTCAATGTTACTTTCTCTGCAGTATCAATTTCTCCTTTTACAAGGAGCCTTTTGATATTTAAGGATTTAGGACTGTTTAATAAAACTGCACAAATTAACTTATAAGAAATCTGTGAGCAAAGATCATACCTTTTACAGAAAGGAAACTGAGGTTTACATAATGAGCTTGGACCAAACTCAAATCTCCTAATATCAATATTACTGGGAATTATTCTGTGACTTTTAGGCCAGAAACCAACACTGTTTATTAACTTAATACATTTGCTTAGGTTCCCTTAGGTATAACAAAATAAAACCTAAAAAGAAATAAATAAACACACAAAAAAAATTGTTTCGAAAATGGTTGGGAGGAAGGAGAACAACCGGGTAGGTATCTTTCTTGGCTGGCTATAGCATACTATTGCACTGTCTCATGGGATGGCTTCAGAGGCAATATTTACTACCACATCTCAGGAAAAAGTATTTTCTTTTTGCTCTAACTTTTTCTCCATCTCTCATTTCTTTTTTGATCAACATCTACCTTTTGGGTTTTTTATATCCCTCAATTTCTGGTTTGCTTCATCTGTCATCCTTACATAATTGGAAAGTCCATAATGATTGTGAATATTGTGGCTGGGAGCAGGCACAGCAACACCCCTCAGTGTTATTGAGCTATGGTAGCAGCAAGCTAGACCGGTAAGGCAGCAGTAAGAGGAGCCAGTGCTATAGCACACTGTGATCAGAAATGAAGGTAAAAGGCCAATCCCGGATGACGCATAAACAAAGTCTAATATACCTGACTCGAGATTCGTTGACACCATGGCTTATTGCTACCATTCTGATACCAGTCTGTCTCCCTCAGAAAGCTTTTTTTTATTTTTCATTTTTGTATTTTCATAGAATATCCAGCTTTGGTCAGTAGATAGAAAAGGAGCACAGGCTCATGGCAATCCAATCTCTCTCTAGTTCTTGTAATATATAGTTTAAACTATTTGGTGTAGTATATAAAGCCAATGGCAATCCAGCTTCAACTTGCCATTTCATTAAAACATTCCAATATCATCCATCTAAACTCACTCTCAAATGTACCCTTTTTTCCCCATCTATTCCAAATATATTACCTGGTAATAAACAATTGAGAATCTCAGTGTTTGCAAGCATGAAACAATTATTTCTTATTTATACTTGGATGGGGTTTGTGTGGCTCAGTGGAATTTAGTTGATTTTAGATAGTCCAGTCAAAGTAAGCAGAATCTAACTTCAGGCCAGTTCCATTGATCTTTTTATTCTATAACCATGATACATAAAAGAGAAACTATCTATGATAATTTTTCATGTATAGACTGCCTTTTAAAGTTCTCCCTGCTAACAGGACCAGGATCACTTCCTAACTCATATCTGGATCAATAAACTTAGATGGACAAACCCAAAATCAATGGCTCAAGGAATATTCTCTATCCATATGAAAGCATGGCAAGAATGAGAGAAGAAATAGAAATTTGTGAAAAGAATACAATCTAATCAACCTCAAATATACCATCTTCTTATATGCCTTTATTTTTTTCAATCTTTACACATGCGATGTTCTTAAATAATGAATTTCATTGTGAAGCATAGGCATCCTTAAACAAGATTTATACTTAAGCACATAACCTATGCAACTCCCAGTTCAATACTAGGATTACTAATTTGTGCAAATGTTTATTTTTTGAGCAATCTTATCCATAAAACAGACATAATTATACCCGATTTAGGGTACTTTAAAGGATGCATGTTCATATTAGTCCAGGTGGGCTAATTTCTATAACAAACAACAAAAGCAAAACAAATCTTGATTACTGAGCAATACATAAATGTTACTCATTCACATAAGTCCAGTGTCAATGTGCCTAATTGGAAGATTTCGTATTCAAGAGGTAATTTGGGGATGCAGACTTCTTTTTCCTTACACTGGAGTCATTTTTGTTACACTGCAGCCATGTAATAAAACAGGAAGAGAAAGAAATAGCAGGTGTACAAATGCCCAGTCCTAGAACTTCTCTACATAGATTCTGTTCACATTTCAGTGCTCAAAAGTAGTCAAGTCACTCTGCCTGTGTTCAGGGGGTTTGGGGGCAGAGAATATACTGCCTGCCTAAGAGAAAGCTATGGAATGGAAACTAAAATCTTTAGTGTATAAAATGTATAGCTCACTTTCTATACATATTACTTTCTCACTGCACAATAAATGTAGCCAAGTATATCAAGAAGAAAGCATGCGAAAAAATTATTGAAATGAAAGTTAACAGAAAGATTGGTAAAGAAATTCATAGGTAGGTAGAGGACTGTCTTGGAGACTTTTAAATTTTTGGACAAGTCACTACTTGGGTAAGAGATGCTTGAATATCTTTCAACTTTATCCTTTTCATTTTGTAATACCATTCTATATTCCTAAAAGCACTCTTAATTTTTAATTAAAATGAATTTAAATCAGTTTTATAAGAAATTCATGATGCACTTTCATTTCCTTCTGATTCATCTAAGATCCAGATATAATTAGAAGAATGCTAGTTTGCAATTATAAAAGCAACCCTGAAAAACATGTATGCCCATCTTGAATGCTATTTCCAATTAGAAGTTGAGTAATTATTATAGACCCATATTCATTGTTCTTGGGGAAAAACTAATTATATGTTCCCATTGCTAAGTTGCATCAACCCTTTTCCATTATGGCCAAATTTAGAAATTTGTAACTATATTGTTCCACTTACTCCAACCTGTCAGAAAGCATAGGTACTAACAGTATTGCCCAAATATTCCTTAGTGAGAAGTCATGGGTCTTTCCTGCCATTGTTTATTAACTGATACATTAACTGCCCCAAAAACATTTGGCCATTGTTTTAGAGAATGAAAACTTCATATGTTTGAAGTTTAGGACATCTAGCCATGAGCCAAAAAAGTTCTCCTTGACTAACTCTTCCCTGCAGTGACTGCCAATGTTAGGATGTGGTGTGTTACATAGAATAAACTGCTATCTGGAAAATCAGAATATCAGAATTTGAGTACACAGTCTGCTACTACTAGCTCTATAACCTGCAGGGCAATGCAACATACAAAATATTGCTCAAGATATGACAGCATATATAACTAAAGAGCAGGCATAAAAATAGTTGAGGGCCACTGTGTCAAGTAAACTGAGAGAGGGTAGGTCACAGCTCAGACTATATTCTATACTGATGATGACACTCAGATACATTTTTAAGAGACCTTCTGTCCACCCCAAACTTGGTAAAAACCATAATGTAAACTAACCAAGTGGCTTTGTAAGAAGAAACATTTTGTGCTTCTCTTCTGTCTCTTTGCTGTAAACTTCCATAACTGAAATATCCCCAGTATAGTTCTTCAATTTGAGCTTGAAAGGAAGAAGAATAAATACAAAGGATTTGACAAGCAAAGAAAGGATTGGGAACTACAATAAAGGGATATTTTCTTCAGATTACATTCATCACAATGTAATTTTGCTATTGTTGTTTTCCTATGGTCCACTGCCCAGCTTCTCAACTTGTCAGACACACACAAACAGAGAAAAAAGAAAAATAAGAATGTTTAGTTAGGTTAAATCCAGCATCATTAAATGCTTACGAAAAGTAATCACACATTTTCCCTGTGGGAACACCTTTGACCAAAGACGGTGATTCTCTGAGTAGACCTCTTCTTAGATGATGCAGACATAAATTTTCAAAGAAATGTGTTTACTAAGCGAACTAAATTCTGAGCTCTTTCCACTGAACTCACAGCTCAATATTCAGAAATGAAACAATTTATCTTCAACAAGATGCAAGTGAAACTTTAGAACACATGTAATGCAGTAAATATGTTATACCTAAAGGACAAAAATTAGGCATTTTTGTGTGTGTGTAAGGGAAAAAACAGTATTAAATTACTTTTACACTTCATGCACCACTACAAGCTCTGTGAGACTTCATAAGACTAGCTAATCAGTTGGAATAAAAATCAAATTTTACAACAGAGGGACCCATTTTACCACTTTTGAAATGAGTTACCTCCCAAACTATATTCCTGTTGAGCTCAGCTGATAAGACTTGGACCGTGGTCTAGGTAAGGGATTGAGCCCATCTTCCAGTCCCSCTTTGCAAAATAGCACAATATGGACTTCACAGATTAATTTAAATAATATCATGCTTTGTCCATCTGAACTTTTGGCATCATCATTTACCAAATTATTTTAACATGAATGCTTTTCTACATTTTCAATATAACAAAATATCCCACCTTCTGTGAACTGTACTTGAAATATGCATTGGCTGGTTGAAAGTAATACTTCAGTTTTCACATCTCAACTAGTATTTCATGTTTATTCTTTCTTGAATTTGAGGACCCTGGTTTCAGAAGGAATACGATTTTCTGTATGTATATGTACATATACAAATGCAAACTGCAGATTTTCTATAAACATTGCACCATTTGTCTAGTATTTCCAAAATATGTTGGGTCAGTGTGTTGAATCAGGTTCCAATTTGGAATATGTATTTTTTTATACCTGGAAATGCTACTACTTCTGAGTTGAGACAACTGTTGTCCAGAACAAAATTTTCAGCATATTAGATTGAACAATTTTTCTCTCAATTAATATGATAGGTGTGATTACTTTTTCTGAAAATATTATTTATGTTTGTAGTATCTACATACCCATTGTGTGTTCTTCAACAGTCTTTAGGGAACCAAGAAAACAAATAAATTTGAGGTAGGAGAAAAAGTGTGAACTCTTCCCCCTTGTCACTCTGTTCCATTTTTTATACTTGTGGCAGCAATTGTCCTAGGGAACAAATCGATTTTGTCACTCCACTGATTAAAACCGAACTAGTGGCTACCCATCACCTAGAGAAAGGTGTCCAAACGCTGGAGCATAACATAAAAGGACCCCTGAGATCTGCAACTTACCTTCTCTGCAGTTTCCACCCTCTGTGCTGTTCTGAATGACAAACWAACACACAACTTGTAGTTTTCTAATTATGCCACACTCGTCCACACCTCATTGCCTGTAAACATGCTGAACATTTGGCTTGAGAAACTTCTGTTATCTCTAGAGCCAATTCATGCACCACTCATAAAAACAAGCCTTTTTGAAAGCACCAAAATCTATTCTAAAACAATTCTTTATAAGTAGCATAAGAATCATTCTTATTTTACTGCTGAAATTATTTATTAGTGGCTCTGTTTCATTATGTTCTCTTTGTCATATATATCAGTGTATTTATTTATGTATTTTGCACTTAACTTAGCCTGGACTATCAAGACAAACTATGCTATTATTTCTTTCTATCTAGTGAAACAAATATTAGGATTTTGCACACACATGTATATATTAATATGATTTTATGTATGAATACGAGTACAAAGATGCATTATAAATAATTGGCTCACTTGGCTCATGCAGTTTTGGAGGCTAAGAATTTCCAAGACCTGTAGTTGTCCATCCTAGTCAGAAGGCTTGACAATCAGAACTGATGATGTAAGTTTCAGCCTGGGTCTGAGATCAAAGTCAGGAGAAGACCAATGCCCCAGCTCTAAGATATTCATGCAAAATGAATTTTGTTTTTCTCAGTCCTTTTGTTCTATTTGGACTTTCAGAGATTAGAATTAGCCCACCCACATTAGGGAGGGTGACCATTTTACTAATGGTGAGAGTATTTCTGGATAACCTTGGTATTGGCACAAACACAGAATAAATGTTTATCCAACTATATATTCAATATCACATTTGAAATTGAAATACTTCAGTATATAGTAATTAATGTGTTAAAAATACTCTAAAATTAACTCCCAGATTAGTACATGAATTAATATGTGAGGAAGGGCAATGACCAGATCTTTAGATGTTTTTGTATTTAGAAATTCTATTTTGTTGCTAGGAAATTTTTTTACACTATTGCAATTATCATATCCTATTACATTTATGAGAAAATAAAAATGGAGGAAATATTCTTGATAGAATTCATCTGTTCTCATCCTTCTGGAGTGTATTGTTTCACTGCCGTCTCTACAATTTAAACATTATTAGCCAAGAAAAATCTGTAAAATAATGCTATTGGCAAAGGTCTAAAGAGTCTTCCATCTAGTCCAAATTGTATGTGTTCTGACTCATTGGTGCATCTAGGAGTACAATTTTGGGCAATATGGCTTTCTCCATTTGAAATTGGAAATTCACAAAGTTTTTCACTTGAATCTAACTTGGACTCACTTGGAGCACTCACAAATAAAGCTTTGTTTATACAGTGGAAGGAAAATGCATAACAGAAAATTCAAACATGGGCTCATCTAGCTACAGATATGCTTTTAAAAATATTAATAATACTACTACCACTAAATAATAAATGTCATACTTGTATATTGGTATTACCTAGGCAAATGTGTTTTTAATACACTTATGTATATTATCCAATTATTAGTCTATAGGTTATTTTATTAATATTTAAAAATTGAGGTTTAAAGATCTCAGGTAACCTATCCTTGAAAAAACATACAAAATATGTGGGTTAAGATTCTAATACAATCTGATTATTCTGAGATCTGAATCTGATACTAATTATTGGTCTGTGTTCATAAATTTGTCCAAAGCATAATTGTTACGTAGAGTATTATTATTAGTGACATGAGAAAAATAAGCAAATAACCCAGACCAGATTAGACTGTGATAAAAAAGATCAATTCTGAGCAGAGGGTTGTAACATTTTTCATGTAAAACCAAACATTCAGATCATGAAAAAAAAGAATTGTTAAGTTGGACTTAGTTTTGTGAAAATTTTCACAAGAGGCATAAAAGATTTTTACCGAAAATATAGAAACAAATCTTAAAACTCAATAAAAAGAGTAACAGTTAACTAAATGAGGAAAAAAAATAGCGTACACCAATTAAAATGTACATATGGCAAATAAACTTGCAAATATACTCTATCACTTCATCAGAAAACCATAACTCAATAAGATACTACCACATACTTATTTCAAGGCTAAAATGCAAAATGCTTATAGTTTAATATACAGTCAAGGATTTCATGCAATGGAAGTTCTCATTCATTGGTAATGAAAATGCAAAATGGTACTAATGCTTTGGAGGACAAGTTCTGAGATTTTCTTACAATATTACATATACTCTTTTTGTGTATTCAAGAAATCATGGTCCTTGGTGTTAACTAAGTTGAAAATATAACAAGCACATGAATATTAAAAGTAGCTTTATTCATGGCTAAAATAACTTGGAAGCTACCAAAATTTCCTTCAGTAGGTGAATAGATTAACAAATTCTGGTATATCCATCCATAGGTCATTTCTTTTTAGTGCTAAATAAATATCTATCAAAAAGACATGGAAGAAATTTAAATGCATAAAGAAGTTAATCTAAAAATGATGTAATATATATATATATATAATTTCAACAATATGACATCTATCTATATGTAGAATTGTCTACATGACAATTATATATGAGAATAAAAAGGTTAGTAGCTGTCAGATTTAGAGGGAGGGAGAAAAATTGGTAGAACAAAGGACATTTTTAGGTCAGTGAAAATAATTTGTACAATACTATGATATATCTTTTGTGTATCAAAACCCATAAAATGTACAACACAAAGATTGTACCCTAATGTACACTATGGGTTTTGGTTAATAATCCTTTATTAACGTGGTTTTATCAGTTGTAACAAATGGATCATGTGGGTGTGGGATGATGATGGTAGAGGAAGCTATTTGGAGGAAGGGGAAGTGAAGACTAGATAAACAGATATAGCACAGACCATGCCTCCAATAACTTACTTCCTTCAGCCACTACTCTCACTTGCCTACAGTTACTATCCAATAATCCATTCAAATATCCATCCATCAAATAGATTAATCCACTGATGAGCTCTCATAATCTAGTCATTTCATCTAGGAACATTCCCACCTTACCTTTACATGAATGTTTCAGGGGACATTAAAGATCCAAACCATAACATTGGGGATCCTTTATATCTTCCATTTAAGGTCAATCTAAAACTACTTTTAAAATAATCCATTAATTTAAAAAATATGATTCACAAACTATTTTTTTCTTTATGGATACCTGACGTAAGCTGAGTAGAACTAATTTGAAGGACAAAGGAAAATAGATGAGTTGATGCTCCTCATGCTACTAGCATCAACTCATCTGTTTTCCTTGTGACTTAACAAGGTGACTATTTTCCATAATGAGTATACTATTTTATATTCCCACTAATAGTGTGCAAGAGTACCCTTTTCAGCACAATCTCATTGATAATAGCCAATCTAATAGGAGTGAGGTGATATTTCATTGTTTTTGAAACACCACTGCATTTAATAATCTAGGCCAAATTGTCCCATAGAACTTTA